CAACTAGTTCTTTCCCCCATTTAATCCAGACACAACCATACCCAGAGGCTAAACTATATGACAACAGTTCTATGCTAATATTGATAAAATCTCCTGAACATCTGAAATTGCTTTACAAGTAAGAGGTTCCTTAACCTCATTTTAGAGATTGGAAATAGACACAGGTGAACTGGACTGCCTAAATCACATATAGTAACCTTCACTCTGGCACTAGCACCTGCTGCAGCCCTTAGATGCCAAGGCCAGGGCAGCTTGAATTGAGAAGGGGCTTAGAATCCACCTGCAGTCAAAAAAGCTTTTAGAGAAAGAGATGAGTCAAGATGCTGAGCTGCCAGATGAACCAGAGGCTGGGTAGAAAGTGAGGTGATAAAATAAAAGAATAGGAGAATAAGGGGACTGGGAAGCGACACGGGGGACAGAAGTAAAATAGGAAAGATTTCAGGTAAGGAGTAATAGAAAATTAAAATTAAAATCAAAACCTGCATATGTGAGCAGGCACTAACAGAGAACAGAAACAGAGGAAAATAAAATCTACAGACTTGGAGTATCAAGGGAAAAAATGAAAGGAAACATAATTGGTGAAAAAGAGAACTGGTTGAAGAGCTGTTAGGTGAAACCATATCTGAAAACAGTAAACAAGAAGCCTGAAGCACATGAACAGAGAGAATAACTGTTTGAACTCCAACAGTGAAGTTTAAAGATAGAGTTCAAAGATGCCTGGTGGACCAGTAAGGGCCCACAAGGTGAAGAAACCCAGCTTGCGGGTAAGCTATGTGAAAAGATTCAAGGACAGAGAAAGTTGATTATTCTCCAAAGTGAAACAGTATACTGTTAAGTAATATCTTTTATTGTTACCAAAGCATTTGGTACTAACTGCCCTGCATGTGCCAGTTCACGTAAGGGTAATGAGTTGGTAAGCTATACAGGCAGTATCCGGGTTACGTACAAGATAGGGACTGTAGGTTTGTTCTTAAGTTGAATTTGTATGTAAGTCGGAACTGGTACATATTGTAGGGGAAACTCTAGCCAAACATTTCTCCAGAGCTCAGTTTTATTCTCCCACACCTCACTACCCTCAGTCCTTTATTCTCAAGCTGAGGTATCTGCTGAGAAAAGCCGCTCCGTGTCTCCCTGGTCTGCTGGGGGGAAGCAGCTAGTACGGGGTTGCCTCACCCCGTTTGTAAGTAGGGATCCGATGTAAGTCGGATCCATGTAACCCGGGGACTGCCTGTAGTTTATTATTTTAAGTAGTACGTTTTTGCTAATGCTCTTTATTTATTTCATGGTACAACTCTGGGGTTTTCCCTTATAAAGTTCTAACAGTTATAATTATACCTTTCGTCTTGTTTGCCTCTGCCTTTCCTCACAGTCAGCGTAACCTAGCTTAGCCAGATCACCACACATGCAATAGAGGGCAGGCTGGGAACAGATATCCAGCACAGTGCTCTATCCACTGGACCACACTGCCTTTATAAAAAAAAAAAAAAAAAAGACTACTGCAAAAGACTTCCACCAGTTGTTGTTGCTGTTTTTTTTTTTTTTAAACTACTGGCTCCCTTTGCAGTGTTGAAACACGATTTGTTAATACAATGCACAACTAGCATAAGGCTCCCCACTATGTTTGACAGCATATAGCATGCCCAAGAACATGGATTAATTCTGCATTAGGGCAAGCAACATATGATGTGTGCTGCCAAGACCAGGGAGTGGCAGAGAGATTTGTGGAAGTGGGGCACGAAGGTTTATTTAAACAGGATATAATCTAATGATTTGGTTTTTAATTTGATCCTAAAAAATCCCAAAATGTATCCTTTCGGAAGCAGCAACTGCAAACAAATCTGAAATGGCGCCAGTCACTGACAACTTTTCTGTTCTGTACCAATATCCCAGTATAGTGCATTGCGGTTTCCAAAAGAACATCAGGGAAGCCAAGTCACATGCTACCTCATTGGGATTCAAAACAAGTAAACAGAGAGTCTAACAACTGTGCTGCTTTCACTAAGCCAGGTTATGGGAAACAGGCCTCATTCCGAATCAGTTGTTGTTTGAGATTGGGGGGGAAGCACCACCCTATGCACCTACAGGTTATTTTCAGTCCCATTACTACTATAGCTCATTTTGCGTGACTGAAATGTATTGCTTCCCTGACAACAGGAAAAACACAACTGTGCAACTGCCAGAGGCTGGGTGAGGAGCTGGAATGAATCCAGAAAAGTGAGCCGCAACACCCCTTGCAGGAATATTTGGGCATCATCACTCATCAAAATCTGACTTCCGTATCTGTATGCAGGGCAAGTGCTCCAGCCCCAGATGAGAAGGAAAAACTCATTTTGAAGGACCACTGTTCTCAGCAGCAAAACACAGTTTGTGGTGAAGAAAGTAAGGAGCACACTGACTTCACAAGCGTTACTCTGGCTGCTGGCAAAGAGCATTCAACCCACCATATACCGTCCTCTTGGTATTAAACCTCCAGTACAGATGAGGGCTCTGAACACATAAGTTTCCAACATGACCTGCTTAAAAATGGCTCAAAAGGTGAATAAAAGTTGCATGATTGTTATGAAGTCTGTTTGGCCCCTGATAATAGCAGGACCACTGCTTGCCAATAAAACATCAGAAATTCCATATTTCTGATCCTTTTTCTTGCAGCTTTTCTGGCACTTATAAACAAGGAGCACAGAACCAAGCACAAATTGTGCAATCCATTCCCCCAACCCGGACATTGCCAATAGACAATTCACCAGGGACTCTTAACAGACACAAAGCAGATCTACCCAGTAGTGGACACAGGCTGTTCAGGCTTACAACAAGTTTAGGTCCAAGTAATCCAGGCAGAATGTATGTTATCTTTGTTAATCCCCTTGGTGACTCAGTCACTACTCACAGGCTTAGTGCTTTGGAACTTTACCTATTTTCAAATGGAGAGAAAACCACTTAAGCTTCACTCCATTTGGAAAAGAAACACACTGGAAACCCTACACCCATGCTATCAAAACTGTGTGTCTGGTAGACAAGAGGATTTAATGGAAATAGAGGAATTATCTAATGGGTGGATAATTATTAACAATACTAGAAGACTTATTCAGCTTGCCCAAGTTGGCCTGGGGAAAGTAGGGGGGGCGCCTATGCAGGCCCACCCCAGTGGTGCTCCCTGGCTGACCCGGGGGCAGGGAGAGGGCTGAACAGGCCAGCCCCAACCGTGCTTTCCATATCCAGTCTGGGGAGGAAAGGGGGAC